AGTAGATCATATCTTACATAAGGTTGGCCACCCTGCTATATATATTCTCCCTAAGGTTAGATATCTCCATTTATCACACTTTTTTTATTGTGCTCCATCATTTGTTAAAACTACCTCGCTTTTAATTGTGTTATTCTATCTCATATTGTCATTTTTTCAACGAAACAAAATAAAGAAAAATAACAGAAGATACAAAACTTAACGGAGACAGACCCACCCGAAGTGCGTAATATCTCAGAAAAAAAATACAAACTGGCAACCACCCTTGACTCTTAGGTTAGCCTTGTTCGCTGAATAAGAAAGCCAGTGTTTCGTACTTACTTTATTAGGCTCTGCGCTTGCTTACTCTAGAACAGTGGTCGTTACTCACTTTTCATACAGGATCCTTGTTCATGGCCCACCGCTAGGCATAACCCAGAACTACAGTGACTATTGTCCAACTACACTCATTGGGTCCATATATAAACCACTCTAGCAATTCCTGTAATTTTATTGATCTAATGCAAGTTTTTTGTTCTTTTGTGAAGTAGTAATAAAGACATTTTTGAAATGCTACTAAAGAAATTTAATGATATAGTCCTCAGATTACGGCCCCCTGCTCCCTGCTGTTTGGCCCCCGAGGAGGACAAGGCCCGCAGTTTGAGAACCGCTGATATACAAGGACTGTGCAATCTCCTTTTTAGCGAAAGAACCTAATGCTAGGTTAGTAATGACTGTAGATTGATTTGAATATGTTCACGATGACTAACGGTTGGAGATCGACTGAATTTACAATCATTTTTTTTTCTTTTTTTGTTTTACTCTCTGAAGCTTGTTCATTTGTTGCAATTCAGTATGAATATATATATATATATATATATATATATATTATATATATATATATATATATATATAGTATATATATATATATATATATATATATATATATATATATATATATATATATATATATATATACCTACATGTATTTGTCTGTTTGGCTACTAAGTTTCATATGCTTTTTTCTTCACACATGCGAACATCTGTACCAGTAATCTTCGTGTTATTTATATCAGTATAACTCAAGTCCTTGAAAAAATATAATGATGATTTGCCTTAAAAAAAGATAACTGCAAGATATTTCTTTTCTCATTTTCTCTCACCTAGAAATAATTTATCTCCGTCTTCTTTACACTCTTTTTCGATTTTTATATACCTCTATCGATAGCCAAAATGAAGAATAATAACGACTTCCGTGAAATACTGGCGATCTAGATTTATTTTTAATTCTCTCCTTGGTCACTCGCTGGCAGGGCCTGGCGACTGAGTTCCCGGATGTGGTGAGGCACTCCTGTCAGTGCCGTCGTGACCGTGGTGAGGAGAGGCTGCGCGCCGCGTCGCTCCGGCTCGCTCGCTCGCTTTCGTCAACTTAAAAACTCCTCTGTTGGACTTTAATTATTTTTTCTTTTTCTTTTTGAGGACGAGAAGTGAAGGGGTGTTGCGTTGTTCAATTCATGAATGTTTCGACAGAAAGTTCTTAAAAAAAGTAACGAGAGAAAAAAAAGTTTTGGTAGAGTTAGAAAATGTGACTTTGTAAAATTGTTAAGAATTCCCTAAGCCAACGCGGAGAGAGAAAGGAAAAAAAAGTTAATGAAATAATTACATCATTGCGTACTCTAGTAAGGCATTGTCTTGGGGCAACTTACCTGTCAAGTGATGTTTACTAATGTAGTTTAAAAAGCCTTTGTTATAAATAACCCAAGAAAAGAAAAGAAAAGAAAAATGTATACATAATTAATACTGACATTCAGATATACGTGTGCTGTCCATGAAACAAGAAAACACGCTAAGACAATATTTTCTTAATATCTCAATTTTCTTCCCTTTCCTTAAGACAGACAGGAAGATACCAAAGACAAGATACCCACCGTGTTATAGCTTTCGATACCAAAGTGCCCACAACTGACTTTTCTGTTATACCCCCCCCCCTCCTCATCCTGGAAAACCGTTAGACCGTTTGAAATTCAAATATTCCAACCAATCATCACTCAAGTAGTCGATTATAGGCCTATATCGGAATTCAAAGTAAAAAAAATATATAATCTTTTGATATCGTTTGCCAATTCTTACTCCTATCTATCTGTCTATCGCCTGCCAGTCACCTACGACACGCGACTGGGCAATTTGCACCTTGCAGACACTCCTGCTTGCAATAAGTTTTTTTCTTTTTTTTCTTTTTTCACTCACATAAAACAGTTATTTTTTTCTACGGACCAATCTGCTGCTGAGACGAACTTACGAAAAGATTGTTGTAGAAAAACAAACAAACTTATTATTGGTTTGTTCTCACTGGAGAATGATTACCATTTTTACGTAAAGAAAATGATAAGTTATTTAGTAGTATTTTTTACCATCACTTTCGAATAACGACTGACGAGCCAATCGCAGTTTTACAATGAATATGTGACCAGGAAAGCAAGATTCATAGAATACGAACAAAACATATTTTAAGGAAATAAGA